TTATAGAATTATAATATTTAGCGTATAATTTTCCCTTAGGGTTTTTATTTGAATCGTGCTTCATAAAATACAAATCCTGTAAATAGCCAAAACAGATTGTACTTAAAAATTTTAGGTAATATTAAATAATAGTTATTTACTTTCACTTCTGTAGGAAATATAGACACTAATTGATTTGCCAACTGTTCTGCCAGGTTCACAGACATGTTTATCTTTTTAGTGATGACCCATGTTTCGTGGGGGAATGAACTCAAGGGCCAAAAGCCTACAGTAAATAGTTATAACCACAGAACAATGACTAATAAACCAAATTTTCACCATGAAAAAAGGACAATTTTAATTGTGTCTCAGCGTTTTTATTTTTTTCATTAGACCAAATTATCAAAAGTTATTGATGTTAGGAAAACTTAAAAATATCAAATTTTTAAAATTATTATAACTTTTTTCTTAGGTTAGGTTGATATCAAACAATTGTTTATATATTATATTATATTATATTGTTTATATCAAACAAAGTTGATACCAAACAACTAAAAACGCTATGACACAGAAAGTATTATCTGCTATATTATAATACTCATTGATATTAAACTAATGGATGCGGCATGACACAAAAATCTGTAAGCTAACATAATTCATACTATTATTAACCGTTAGATGTTATAAATAATTTATCAATTATATTTACATTATATTTTCTCTCTCTTACAAGAGTTTTACTTTCCTTGTCACACAGAAGATGTGTGCGAGTGAGAACCATCGTTTCTCTCTTCGTTATGTTGGCTTTAACAGTGTATGTAGAATGTATAAAAGAATGCCGTATCCATAATATCTATGACAATACTCCACTGATGCCCGTGTGATAGCCGACATAGCCGTTCTCCTGCGGAATCGCCATTACACACATGCGCGCTCCTGTCAAGCTTATATAATATGACAGATGCATGACCCCTGACATGCACGATTCATAGCAGCGGTATAATTAAATAAAAAAACATTAATAAATATAATTTATATTATATTGTTGCTTCATAATAGTTCAGCACAATTATTTTCTTCCCGGGCCCTACCTATGTTATAGACTTACTAGCTAAAACAAAAGTATATATTTTTTCTTTATTATAATATTATTGTATCATTATGCTAAATATTATTATATTTTATACTATAATGTTAACGGCCGTCCATAATCTATATTATACACAAATACAAATTAGGTACGCAGGTAAAGGTAGATCGAATTTTCTACTGGAAACCACCTAAAAAGTTTAAAATTAAAACATTTTTTGTTATTAAGTGTCTTCATACTTAAATCAAAGTAATTAATACGTTCGTTGCTCTGCT